CTTTTGTTGAATTGGTTTCTCCATATAATAAAAAGAACATTACACGTTGGCTCGAAGATATGAATTTTATATTCTTGCCACTCGAACATAAAATTCATATCTTCTCGCCACCGTGTAATATCCTCTATGTATACTTACACTATACTTACTACTTACATAATACTTACACTACTTATCGGCTTGCACTCAGGTACTTACAACGCATATATTACGATATAATTACACTAATTAAATTACGGTTGAGCAACTTACAATGCACAGCACTAAAAATAACTTTTTTTTGTACGGAATAGAGTTCAAGTTTCTACTGTTATTGAAAACATCCTACTTATAAAAAAAATATGAGTATTACATATCACTGCTACACATTTAAACTGACCTCCAATAAATATTTATGAATTACTTCTACTATGAAATCAGACATGGAAATCTCCCCATGTGTTCATTTTGTGTTGTATAAATAATACTTGGCAAACAAGAGGGTGAAGTTGAGTTTTCTTTCAGACTGATAGTTCTGCATTTTTTAAATCTATTTTTCTACCATACATTATTTCGATCTGCGAGAAGCATAATGAGGTGGCATTTTCATCGTTGAACCACTTGATAACTTCCGAAAACAATTGTTTAGCGCAAGAGCAGTTTTGGAGAGTGTGGATTATTGAATCGTTCACTCTACATAGCATATCTACATAGGATATCGTCTTCTTTTCCATAAAGGAACAGCTATTTTTTGGTAACTATTATCCCATGCAAAACTTTAATTAAAATAGAATTATCTCAGCTTGCTGTCCTTGCAAATGGATTTCATATCTCCAAAATATGACTCTAAAGGGATCTGGTCTACTCGTAAGTCTCAGGCCCATTTTGTGCTTGCCCTGAGTTGGATTTTGTTCTTGTTGATTAGTAATTTTTCAAAGAATTGTTTTTCATTTTAAGGAGATTTACGCAGCAGGTTTCTAATGAAAGCGGAAAAAATTTTTTGACAGGAAATCTGTTTTTTCTAGAGGGGTTACTTTTGCCCTCTCTATGACATTTTTGAGGATTGCTGAAGTAACTTGAAAATAGGCTAGAAAATTGTACCTTAAAATACATTTCTTTGTAAATTTTATGCACGACATCACGTTACCATCTGTGTCTAGAAGATCTCGGATGAGAAATACTGACTCCTTTGTCGAACCAATTTTTGTAAAAGATAGAGCATCCGTCTAGCAATATGTCTTTGTTATTGAACAAAACAAATTCCTGTGTAAAAATCTTTGTAGGATGTTTTAAGCTTTAGGAAATGCTAAAGGATTTCTTTGTAGAACTGGGGTAAATGGATCCTTACAAGAAACGTTTTATCGTAATTACACCTTAACGAAAAATTTAGTCCACCGAATTTGTCCAGTAGGTACTAGTTGGGAGCCCTCCAGGCGTCCTCGGAATTTTCCTCTTCCGATGTAAGAATAGGCATCCATGCCAGCTTCAATCATTTTGCCATGGTGACTATACTGGGCGCGCGTAAACCTCAATGTCATAGTCGGAAATTGTTACTCAAAGATTTGATTTTTTTTCTTTTTCCAGATAAATTTGAAAATGGCGGAATTAACGGCTTGGATATAGGCTTTCCAATGTTGAGGTTTGAAATCGTGTAGACCAGCTGCGAGATTCCAAGGCTTTTTGCTATAAATTATCTCCAAAGAGTGTTAAATTTCGACAATTTCAAGCGTCAAAGGTACTTTGCATTTTCTACAGTTTTGTCTCAAAATTAAGTTTTTAATTTTGTTTTACATCGTAAGATACATAAGATCCAAGTATTCGAACAGGCTTTTCAGACCACTGGATTCCTAAGGGTTTTTCTTTACAATTCCTCCAAGGTCCAAGTCACAAAGTTTTGGTTTTCGACGGGTTTAGTCTTAAGGCGGACAAGTCACCCAAGTTCAGTCTAGAATACTGATGGCTCCTCTGACGGAATTTGTATTGCTGTTAAGAAGGGTGGTGTCATCTGCAAATTTTTAATTCCCTATGAAAAATATTTATTCCCTGGATTTCCTTTCCTTGTCTAATTTTGCCTGCTAAATGCTCGACTCCCAAGAAAAAGAGATTAGGACACAAAGGGCATCCTTGTCTAATCCCCTTGGTGAGAAGGTGAGAAGTAGTGTTTGCACTATAACCATTATTCAAGACGGAACTCGGAAAATCAGAGTAGAAAGTTGAATTCCAGCGTTGGATGGACTCACTGTAAAAAAAAAAAAAAGCCTGAATAATGTTTTGGATAAATTTCCATTCGATCAATGGTGTTAAAGGCTTTTTGAAAGTCAAGTTGCAGGAGGATACCTGGAATGTTCTGGAGTTTTGTTTGTTCCAAAATGTCGTATGTATCTTCCCTTCCGAGCAAACAAGAAGTGAGAGGACCTTATGTAATCTCCTGGCAAATACTTTGAACATAATTTTGTAATCTAAATTTATTTATGGTATGGGCGCCAGTTATTAAGTGATTCAAGATCAGAATCCTCTTTCGGAACGAGCGTGATCATTCCTTGACGTTGAGAGGACTGGTGTGTTTACAGTCATAGGTACTTCCACCGCTTATGGTGAAACTTCTGCGCTGTGGGTTTGTTAATTACGCGAAACGGATGTTGGTTTTTACCATACTGTCGCGGGGGAGGGACTTTAAATTTTGTGTTAGCGATTCAGAACGACTTCCCTGCTGACATTCCTTTCTCCTCCCCTATCTTCATCTTATAGTACTATTTTTATAACTTGATGAAAGGTGGAAATATTCGATCCTGTTTATGATGGCCTCTGTGAGCATCTGTTACATGGGCTTTCCTGAGCGCCAGTTCAATTTTGAAAGTTTTCCACGACTTGACTTTTTAAGCTCATCGTTCTGTTCTTTCATACTCAGTGACCAAATCAGAGCCATACTCATGTACGTATGCGATTAAACTGATGATATATTTTTTGACGTTTCTTCCGGTTTAATCATATGCAATAATCTACTAAAATCAATGATTAAAGATTGCACGACAAATGGTCACATAGCCTTGTAAAGCATTATGTTAAAAAAACTGAGACAGTCCTCCTTGTTAAGAGAAGAATTGCTATAGTTTTTTTAGCAAATAGTAAACGATATGTTATTTTCGATTTTATAAAGCTAACGCTGTCCACCCATTCTTGTCATGGTTTATTGTTTTCACTTGACCTTTGAAAGGACACGGACTGTAGCTTTATGAAGTCGGTGACAAAAATAAAGTATCGAAACACATTTTAAAGACTTCAACATGCAGTGGCTGATCTGCCAACAGAATCATTGCGTTAATGAGTGTCATGAGTATACCATCAAACTGATACGGTGGATATGTGTAGTTGTCGTCTACGCGAGCACGTAGTTCTTGTCGAGTACTTTGTAGCGTGACTGAAAACAATGTCATTGAAAAAATAAATGTACTTTTCATCATTTTAAAGCACGTGAAAGACCACCCTTTTCGAAGAACAGCCCTATCACAATATTATCAAAAGCAAGTCGACCCTGTGTTGTTACATTCGAAAGTCCGTGAGTGAAGAATTCTTTTCCGAGCCAGAGTTCGTTTGCCTGAGTTGTAACTAAGATGTACGTATGGCGAAAGCTCCTTTTCCTGTTAGCTGCGATACATGAAGCGAGTGGCACATGGGTCAAAGGACCAGGTACTGTGACTCGATTTTTTCATCACCCAATAATCGAAGTGATAAACGCGTCCCTTACAAGACTTTTTTCCTGGTTAAGGAGATTTGGCCAAATTTTCATTTCACTAAAGTTCTAAGCTTTCTTTCTTAGAAAGAAATGATTTCGATAAGGATATAAATGCTCAGTGAAAAACGCAAAGTCGACTAAGAGGAAATTTCAAAGATAAATAGACCAGTTGGGGCGCGTCCATAACGCAAGTGAACTGTGTGAATGTTCTACCTCTAATTAAAAAATTGAAATCTGCATGAGAGAGAAAAGGTTCGTATAGTTTAACGGAAATATTAAAATGTATACAAATCGACTAGGAAACTCTTTGGATATAAATTTCAGATAGCGTTGCGATTTGATGATTTTAATTTTTCGTTCCCGAATGTCCTATAGCTAATTAAACAGCTTAGTATATCGACAGAAACCGGATTCTTAGCGCATAAACCTCTGTTACCGAACTGAATTTTACCGGCTTCACGATCACGCGGCTCACTGATAATTAGCATTCTAGCTAATTTTGATAGCCTTTAAGTTCTAGCTTGAGAGTGATGTAATTATGCCATTCTTTTAGGATAGCGATGTTTAGAAAATAAACCAAACAGGTGGCGAAAACCGGTAAAGTCAACTACTAGAGGAAATACTGTTTCCACATGCTGACCAAATTTGGACGTTCAGTTCTTGGAGTTTCCTGACAAGAGAGCAATAAGTGCAAAAATTATTTACTAAAAATCTACTCATGGCACGGTAACTTTTAGAATACTATCTTAAACAACTCACTTTAGGTCATTTCTCTAAGTGACACCGCGAACATTAAATTCTCAAGCGTTCTCGAGAAAGTTAATGTCCAACCTCGTGAGAATGTTTGAAGTGTGTGTCATGGTGTTTTTAACTAACGCAGAACGTCCTTTTTAGGTGAAATATAGATAACTTCAGGTTCAATTTTCTCTCGCGGGGTCAGCTTGAGAGCTTAAGTCTCCGATAAGTTCTTCTTAACTGTATTCAAAATAATACCATGCCACAAGGTTTTTTGGTAACTTAAGTTTTGCCATCATTGGTCGAATGTTCTGCGGAAATCGGCTTAATCACCCATATAGGTCTCATTCCCAAAGTAATCCCTCTCATGATATTTTTAAGTCACTCCCAGGCTCCGAGATCCTTACAGGACGGTCTAGAAATAGGTAATTCTGGAATGCAGATTTTCCTCACGTGGACAGCCCACTAAGCGGCTTTACACCCACTTTTCCTCTACGATGCACCTAGTACGCAACGCGTGTGGTAACATTATCAGCGGAAGAACTTGGGACCATATCTAAAAATAACTTTAGAGGAATTACTTTGGAAAAGTTTTACATGGTCAGATTAACCATCTTACCCATCTATTATTACAAGTCTCTTGTTTATTGATACCCTTTCTCTCGATGTTGCTAAGCAATTTGGTGGTGTTGTTCATGATTAGGTATCAAGTACTATTTAGCTACATGTGGCAGACAAAACTGTGACTCGGTATGCGGGACATTTGGGTTCCAGTGTGCTAGAACTGGCCAAAGCTTCCCGCCTACCTCCGCCTTATGGATATTCCAGTCTTTGGGAATCTCGTGTAAATCCTTCAATTCAACTGACTATTACACATATCAAGACAGTCCGAACTACGTGGCCGAGTCGCCGGGAAATGAGGACTGGGTCGGCGTATGTCTCGGATTCAAGTCTATACCCAGTACCATCGATTGTCACACGGCCAATAATACTTACGTGCGCAGACTTTGTCCATGTTACGACCCTTCAGGTAAGAGCTTTAAAAAGAACACGACAATGGTTTGCTGTTTGAGGTACTGTTATCTTATCCGGATGGTTGATTTTAACTCGTTTCTCAGAGGCTTTACCTGAGCGCTTTTAGTTCTGTATGGTTCATCCACATCGTGCCTTCATTTCCTTTTCAGGTTATAATACATTTTTCATTAAAACGTAGATTTTTCTCTGACTGGGAGGACTCTCCGGCCGTTTTTGAGATCGTAACCTCAATCATACAGGTGTTTATAGCCTGCTGTTAGAACAAAGCCTTTTGAGTCTAGGTTGTAAATATACGAAATTTAATGTCTTTAGAATTTCCTATATTATATAAACTTAGCGGCGTACGTGAGGTCGAGTTGTTCAAATGTTACTGGCTAGACTTCGAGTTATGCCTGTAAAGGGGTGATTCAACTGGACCACAAATAAAAGGCTTGTTCCTGAGCGAGGTTGTGATCCTCTTAACACGAGGAGATCGATTAGTAACAAGGCACCTCTCTCCATTTCTGATGGGTCTTCAGCTCAGTCACCAGTCGCCAAGCAAAGTCATGATATTCCGTTTGTAATTTAAAAGTGTTGAAGATGAAATGAGTTTCTTTAAATTGTCAATGATTATCATTTCCTTCCTCAAAAGTAACCCAGCAGCCTGTTACAACAAGCCTGAATCTCTCTACTCCCACACAACGCAAAACCACCTCCACCACCACAAGCGCCGCTGCAACCACCGCGGCTTCCACCACCACCAGCACCGGAGAGGACAGGAAGACGGAGAGGACAGCGCTAATAGTTGTTGCCGTTATTGCTGCTGGCTTGGTGATTTGCTTGTTAAGCTTAGCATTTCTACTGATGTGGAAAAGAAGGCAGTTGAGGTTATTTTTTGACATGTGTTCTTTCCTTCAACTATTCCTTTCAAAATCAAAATCGCCTTGGTCTTAGGCTAAATTTGTAGGTTATTAATTATTGTTCTTGAAGACGTCTTGCGTGAACGTCTAAAGTTAATTTACGATAGTTGATTTCCCTAAAAAAAGTTAGTAATAACTTAGCAGGATGCCCTCTAAGGCGTAAACGCTTCCAGAATAGCAAGCAGCCAGCTCGCGCCCTTTTTTCTTATTCTATGTCACTGTTTGAAAGCGCGCTCCCCTTCAAAGTTGCCAGTTCATTAGCTGATGGATTATTAACGATACTCTTGGTAATTAACCAGAATTAATATGCTCGTGCAGCGTTTGCTTTGTCACCCAAATTGCCTATAATATCGTGTAGCAATAGGACATTAGTGACTTGGGGAACATCATAGGTTGATACTGGGATAGAAGATGATGATTTTTTTTTACTGAATATTGAATTTTGCATTGCTCGGGTGAAAAGACGTTACTGCCATTTTGAAAGATACGGTTTTCGGGTTTCTTTTTTGCGATGTGACCATCACTGGATTGATCACGCATTCAACAATTTTGTTTACAGAGGGAGACGAAACAAGAAACAGGACAGCGAGAAGCTTCGTGTCGGATATCATAAGAGCAACAACAAGATGGCTGTGCCAGATATGATAGATGGGTTGACAGTGGTGGCCGACATAGAAGAAGAAAACAGGTGTGATTTGTAATATTAGTCTCCTTATAAGACAGTAACTCTGAGGAAGATCCAGGATAATATAATAAGGTAAAGACCGCCTAACTTGTATGGTGGTGTACCACGCCTACAGCCATAGATAAGAGTAAGAGCACCCGAATTGCATTATGGATGATTAGTGTTAATTAATGGGGTGCTCTAATTTTCTCTGAATTTACAGCTACTGTGACATGAAATTCGCCGGCCGATCACTTCCCAATACCAAGGACACTAAAGTCAATTGTTTGGCGGAAGACGAAAGGTGATAAAGCCTTATCTGCAGCGTACGCGTTATAAAATGATTTTCATTACTATGTTTCAACTGCGCAGATGCTAATTTTGTTCCTTAAACATTTTATTCACAGCAGTTATGAGAACACGTTTGAACAAGTCTCTGAAAACATTCTGTATTCAAGGTAACAGAAAAGTGATTTTTACCTCTAATCTCACCTACATGGTAACATATTCATTTTGGTAACAAGGGTCCGCTTAACTGTATTCTTACTAGCAATCAAATTCACATTTTTAAGTTACTGTGAGTCGGAAAAATGCCTGAGAAGTGAAGACGATTTTGGCCAGATTTTATTTAAATAAAACACATGAGTACGTCAGTTAAAAATCTCAATCTCCTATGGAAATGGTCAACCGATTGTCTCGGGTGAAAAAAGCGTTTAGTAGATCGAACGAAATCATACAGAAGAATTCAACCAAAGAGAAGACCACAAATTGACGTAACAACCATTAAAAAACTAGGCAGTATTTTCTTCCTCGCACAGTCAGTGCAATGCTTGACTCGTAGGACATTTCCACCCCGACCCAAGTCAGGTAGACCTGAATACGTAGGTGAAGATTGATTGAGGTGAGCGGATATTACCAGGCTGACGTTACAGCATTGGAATAAGAAGATCATTTAATCATTGCATAACACATAGATAAGAGGGTCAAGCAGCCATGTGGCCTTTTCAATGTCATTTAAAAATGTCATATTTAGAACAGGACCTCTTTGTATATCACCTGCAGGTGAGAGAACTTCCTGTAATAAATATTATTATTATTATTATTGTTATTATTATCATTATTATTATTATCGTCCTCATGTAATGTTTGCTTAGAGTCCTTAGGGCCGAGACCAGACCACGGTCCTGGGGCACTAGGGGATAGCCAGTTTTTAGCTTGATAGCACCCTCCTCAAAATGTGTGCTGTACCTAGCAAGGTTATCTTTTGTAGTTCACTGATGCTTATTATTATTATTATTATTATTATTATTATTATTATTACTATTATTATTATTATTATTTCGGTTGATATTATTTCTGTTTCATTCCTGATCATAGCGTCCCTGAAGGAACCAATATGGCCTTTGCAGCTGACAACAACATTCCACTTTATGACAGGTAAAAAAGCAATCTCTCTGATGTACCATCCCCTGACAGTAACCCTTTAAATGGTAACAATACATTTTATTTTCATTTTATTTTTTATTCAATGTTTTGAATCTCGCGACAGCAAGACCTTTAACAAGTCCCTATGCGTAACACGGGTTATGTTTATAATGAATGCTACTCTCCGAAGTGTCCTTCTTAAATATATCAAATTCAAGCTTACATTGTACAAGCTGTTGGAATTGAAAGGCAGGCGTGCCCGTTCCTATACATGTTTGAGGATAGCTCTGAAGGTGTGTAGTTGCGCGAGTTTACCTGTGGTCGCTTCATTAATGCCTCAGTTTCTTTTGATTCCAGATTGGCCTAGGTACGTCTGTTGAACTGAACGCAGCTGAAATCTTTGTGCCGACTCTGCTTCGAGGCGAGGGCAGCTTAAGAATGAAGTCGATAACGATAAGACTGAAATTATTTGTATGAAATAGAGCATCAAAGCTTGAGGGGAAATCAAAAATATGATTCAAATCTTTTAGACATCAGTAAAACAACTACATTTAGGTTAAGTGCACTTAATGAACGGAAGATCGGTTTTGATTAATGTAGCTAGCGTAGGTTTTAATGGTAGGTAGGTAGGTAAGACTTTATTTTACGAGGGTAACATTTGACAGTATTAAAACTGATAACCTAATGGCCCTCAAAAATTAAAATTTTAGAAAAAGAAAGAAATAGTACAATCGTAACAATATTAAAAATAACTAAAATAAAATAATTAAGCCTACATACATCGTAAAATATTTATAAAATGTGATTATTTACATCTACTAACACTAGGATTTTGCTTTGAAAATCGTTTTTATAAAATGCTCTTTAATTCTATCTTCCGAAACGCTAACGTTACTTTACTTTGCATCACGAATACGCCCACAATCATGTATGCTGCATCTCCATAAAAGTGACGTTTTCATTCGGGGAGGAGGGTGGGGAACTCGGCCCCCTCTTTCTGAATTTTCTGGATCCGCCCCTGGTCCTCAAACAAAGAACTGGAAAAACGAATCACTGAACATGCGTTCAACTGTATTTTGTTTTGAAAAAAGAAACTGAGTCGAGACCATAGCGTGACTAATTGTCGTCAATCGGAAAACCACAAAACTAGTAATTATTTTCTTTTCAGTCTTCAACTGACAATCCAGTTTTCGGTGCTGTTCTCAAGAACCTTATACTCTGAAGAAACTGATGAGAACAGCGAGCAAACTCTCAGTCACAGCAGAAAAACATCGATGTTTTGTTCGCGCACGGTGAAAGCCGCGAAGCGCAAGGCAAAGACCGAAGCAACCAGGGCTCAACTTTGCAAACGCTGCTTATTTCCTCCAAACAAAAACAAGGAAAACAAAACATCGACATCTGCTGAACCGCCCATTCTTGGCAAAAACAGCCATGACCCACAGGATGCTAGTGGAGAAATAGTAAGCCCAAAAAGTGGAAATTGGGTGGATTATTTGCATCTCTTCTTTGGTTTATCTGTAAATAAAAAATAAAATAAACCAAAAATTTCTACTTCCAGACAGCACCACAGCCACAAAAGAGCTCCTGGAGCTTACAAATTTCACACGCGAGTGGTTCTTGGTGCCACTGACAGTGGAATAGGCTAAACACACAGCGAAGTGGGAAACTGGGGAGGGGAAATTGGTCCTGCTTTTGAAGAGGTTGCTGCCAATTCTTGCAGCATGGCTTTGGAAAAAAGCAATTGATATTGGAAAATCTCACGCGAAGAACCCTGCCCCTGATGGTTTGTAACCTCTCTCTGTTTCACATGATATGCAACGGTTAAAACTTGGGGCCAATGATTCACTGATAGGGCATGGAGCAATGATGGACTCCGAAACCAAAAACGTTCTTCACTACACTAAAAGTGGTCGATCAAAATGTAAAGAACCAGCTCATCATGTCTGCCGCCTAAATCACAAGGTTCGTCAAAATCAATGGAACGTGAATTAGGAGTTAGATTATGTAATAATGTTCCTAATCATGGCAAAAAGTACTCTGTTTTCACTGGAGATTATGACTGCGCCACAAATGCAAGATTCGTGAAGAGGCATACAGTGTAGAAAAATGGTCTGACAGTACTCGTGCAACAAGAACACATGCGAGTCACCTCCACGAGATCAGGCGTACGTTTCTCGATAGACTCGAAAACGTCTCGGGCCCGAAAGGTTTTCGGAGCTCTTTACGGGTGATATTCTCGGGTACAGGAAAGTGTTTCTCAGATCCCCCGAAAACACCCAGAATCCCCTTACGAATATTTCGGGTTTTTCTCGGGACGGCGAAGATTTGTAGCGTGAGCTAGGAAACGTATTCCAGAATCTTTTGGTCTTAGCTTATTATTATTATTATTATTATTATTATTATTATTATTATTATTATTATTATTATTATTATTATTATTATATTGTTTGCTTATTATTTTAATTGTGCCTTTTGATTGCAATTTAATGTTATTGTTGTTTTAGTTTCAAGTTCTTACTCTGAAATACAGTTGCATTCACCACAGTCTACTTTCAGTGAAGAGATAGTTCAACTAAGTACAGGATGTACTTCTTTTGTACTTGCTTTAAGAGGATTATGGTTTATCCATCGTGATAGCGTGTTGAATTAAACGGAAGTCCTTATTAATAGATACATGCAGCTGATGTTCAACAGTTGGATCAGCCGCAGGTAACTTGGATATATAAAATTTAATAAGGAAAATCTTGAGTACTACTGATCTACATGCACTCAATTTATTAAGGACTTGAAAGACATTAAACCAAAACCAGATAAAGTTCGAAAGCGGAGTCTTTCTGAAGCGGAGCTAGAGGTTGCTAATTTAGACATGCACTTTTTGAACTTTCAATTTTTTTTTTTTTTTGCACTTTTCATGCTTTTCTTCCTTTATCAGTATTTACAAAGTTGTTGAAACACATTTAAAATGACTTATGTCTTATATAAATCAACCCTAATGAAAACATTTGATGCGGCCACTGAGGAAACAGCATGTTATCGTCGTGGGGATTTATTCTCGCTTTTTTCCGGGCTAGGTTGACAAGTGCTTGCAAAACTATTTTATTCTATGGCTGGAAGTTTGTAGTGATGTTTACTAAACAAAGTCTAAGTATAAACGAGGCCGTGTTTTCATGGACGATTACAAGATATGTTGACGATCGATCTTTGGGATTCTTACGCGTTATTTTTTTTTCCTGTTTAGAGATCTCAGTAAAAGTAACTATACAATATTATTTACATTTATATCGCCTGAGGCTGTAGGAAATCTTATCTAGTCTTGAGCCAACTTAAAAACATTCGGTAACATCATGTACATAGCGACTTACGGTTGCCTTGGGAATTCCCATAGTATCTCCGACTACTTTCAGAGAAAATGCGTCAGCATAACATCATAATGCTTTAGGGACCTAACAATGGAATATAAAGAAATATTTGTTTCCTTTTCGGAAGAGGTCAGCTCTCCGTACCGGATGTTACAAAATAATATTAATTTAACATCGCTTAACTGCCTGTCGGCGCTCAGTGGAAAGTTGCAGCCCGTGTCACGTGCAAGTTTGTCAAAAACAAAAAGCTCAAGTTTGTCCTCCAATAACGCCAACCATCTAATTCTCTCGGGGGACGATCTATATCTTTCAGTTACCGTAATGATTCGATTTAGCGCCCTCCTTCCAATAAGCGCCCCCTTCCGAATAAGCGCCCGCCTTCAAATGTGTTTTCGTTAATAAGCGCCTCTATTCCAATAAGCGCCCCCATTCTAATAAGCGCCCCCATTCTTATAAGCGCCCCTATTCTAATAAGCGTCCCTATTCTAATATTACAGCAACTGCCTGTCATCTTCCTTTAATAGCCGATATTCTAATAAGCGCCCCCATTCTTATAAGCGCCCCTATTCTAATAAGCGTCCCTATTCTAATATTACAGCAACTTCAGAGTACGTATCAAACGTGGTTCATCTTCCTTTAATAGCCGACATACCGTACGTAATAATGCATTACAAAACCAGTGGTCTTCGTCTGAGTTTCTCAACTGTTATGTCCATGTTAGTACATAATTCCTTTAAACGAATAATCTCTTCTTCAAATTTTGTGGCGATTGCTCTGCTGGTCGTTCTCGCCTGGAAGGATCCGGGGACAACGGGTCCGTTTTCCAGTCTTGTTGATCCAGTCACTTTGACCTGTACTTTATTCTCATGGCGGGCTTTGAGAAATGTGAATACAAGGAAGGAAAGTTCCATCGGCACATGCCCAACAAGTTTGTTATCAGCTTCGAGGTAAGTCCCAACTGCGTATCCATCGTGTTCTTTAGCTTCTTTACGGTCATCATTCCTGCATGCCAGAGACTCCCCTATGATTGGAGACCACGCCGCTTTGTAGACATGATGACCTCGTATAACAGACGAAAATTCCACTTCATAAACAAACATCGAATTCCAAATCAAGTGATAGTCAGAACGAGCCATAATCGTAGATATTTACCACTGGTAATTTCGGCGCGTTGCTGCTTTCCCGCTTCTGCCTCATAACACATGTCGTTTGCATTGTTCTTACATTCGGTGAATCATTAACAGCTTCAAGCAGTCACGTTCACTTCCAATCCTAAACCCATTCTTACACGTATCCAGCTGCGTACAGTGATCACTTTGCGTAAAAACATGGAGGCTGATGCTTCTCAGTCTCATGCTGGCAAAAAGATCAATTCACCTTGAATTTAAACTAGAAGCTGAACGGTTTGCCGTGGAATGCAATAGTAACTATAAAGCAGCGAAGAAGTTCAACGTAGACCGGAAGAGAATACGAGAGTGGCGAGCAAACCAGAGTAAATTAGAATCTGCTAGTTGCAAGCGAAAGCGATTCGCCGGGGCGGGAAGAAAGCCTTTTGATCTGGATATTGAAGAAGTGTTATTGGAATGGGTCCACGAACGACGCTCTAATGGTTTTCGTGTATCGAGGAAAATGATCAGAAGCGAAGCAAGGTTTCTCCACGAGGAGAAATGCAAGGAAATGGAACTTCCTCCAACATTCACGGCAAGCATTGGGTGGGTGCAGACGTTCATGACCAGCCATGGCTTATGTATACAGCGCAAGACAACAGAATCCCAAAAGGATCCCGAAAAACTAATTGACAAACTGATCGCATATGTGTTACAAGCAAGACGGCTACGTGTAAAGTTCTCCCACAGTGACAGTGACATTATAGCAATGGACGAAACCGCCGTTTGGTAAGACATACTTTCCAATACAACTGTTGATTCCATCGGCCACAACACGATAGCCATGAAAACAACTGGTCACGAGAAGACAAAGGTTTCAGTTTGCTTAACAGCGAAAGCAGATGGAACGAAATTGAAGCCTTTTATTGTCTTTCCCGGTGCTAAGAGAGAAACCAAATTATTCAATGAAGAATTCAAGGCTAAATGTGTTGTAGCATCATCTTCTAATGGGTGGATGAACGAAGAACTGACCCTTGACTGGGTAAGAAGTGTTCTGGGAAAGTTTTCATTCACCCGACGAATCTTGGCGTGGGATTCGTTCAAGTGCCACGTGATGGAAACAGTTAAACAAGAGCTACGCACGTCAAAGATAGATCCTTTAATCATCCCAGGGGGTTGTACGAAATACTTTCAAGCGCCCGACG